TGTCAAGATGCAATCTCAAAGGGCATGCAAAGTGTTTTCCCTTTCCACACCGCCGAATACGAAAGTGGAGAAAACGACCCCCTAAATCTAAGGGATACGGCCGCTGCTATGCAAGGGTTTCTCACCCCTAGTGTTTTTATAAAGGAGAAAATTTACCGTTATCAACTTTAAATAAATAAAATATATTTAAAAAACAAAAATAAATTACAAATTTGAATTTAGAAATAGATAAATAAAAAATTTAAAAGTAAAAAATAAGGATTTGTTTTTATATTAAAATATTAGCTCTTTAAGTTTAAATTGCATTTGAAATAACATTCTTTGGTTTTGTTTAAACTTAATAAACTAAATTCACTATTTTGTAATTTTGGACTATTATCATCATACAAAATATGTAAGTTTATAGTGCAAAGAATAAAAAAATAAATGATTTTTTATATTGCAACACATATGTTAACACTTTTCCAAAAGAATAATAAATGAAGTATATAGTAAAATTTTGAAACAACTTTTTATACAAACAATATCAAATGGTTATATAAAAATAAGAAAAGGGGAATTGGATACACGTAGTTTTTTTTTTAATTTCAAAATTTAAAAATACATGTATATTTTGGTGTTTTTTTAAATGTTTTATTTATTTAAAGTTAAGTAGAATAAATTTGCTACTTTATGGAAACATAAAATATATTTTTGGACCTTTTAAAAATTCGGCGATATATGTAGAAAAAATGGCACTGATATTAGGCAAAAATATGACTGAATTATTTTTTTACTGAAAAGTGACTTCCGCTTCCTTCTAAAATCGTCTGCTCCGCTTCTTCTCAAAAAATCATCGCTCCGCATCTTCATTCCTCCTGTGCACGAACTCCATGGACGGCCAAGCTTCGACGCACAGTGCAACGGCAATCTCCTCCGCATCTCATCCTTCTCCATTCTTGCATCTCGCCTGTGAGCTTTGCTCTCGCCATGGACAATCCGCCGCCTTTGAGCTCCGCTTCAGCCATGGATAAAGCCACCACCTCGAACTCTGCCGCCGCCCGTCCCGTCGCCTCACCTCCACTCATATCTTCTTCTCCTTTCTTCTCAATCGGCCGAATCCGTAGCAGATTTGAAGGATGGTGGGCGTTAAACCTTCAGATCTAATCCCACCTAGATTTGGTTAGGGTTAACCATGGTTGAGCGGTGGTGAGGCAGTGGTTAGCCGGTAGAAAGAGGTGCGACCGGAATCTGATTGGTAGGGGTGGGCGCGGTCCGGAACGGTCCAGTAAATTAGCAAAACCCGTAATCTATCCGTGAGGTTTATAACGGTTCGGTACGGTTCGGTTTGAAGGATAAAACCATTCGGAACGGTACAAAATGGTTCGGTACAATGCCAAACACATGCCGAAACATTTGAACACATTTCACAATTAGTAGATATCATCACATGAGCCAATTGACGTGAAATTTTGATAAAAATACAAGAAAGTGCATACTAAATACTAGAAAAGATTCAAGAGGTTGACATTTTTGTATTTAAATTAAAAAAGACTCAAACAGTGAAAGAAATTTAGTAAACATATAGCAAAATGACAATATACAATCATATAATATCATATTTATTAAATTCACGAGAACATATCAAAGAATATCATTAAATTATTGAACAAAATACAAATATTTAATCTTCTTTTTCGTTGTTCTAAGTTGAATATTAATTCTAGTATATTTAGTAGTTCATAGTTGAACCGTAAGAGTTGTGATTCAAACCATATTAATTAAGTTATAAAACTACCAAATATGATACAACAAAAGTCATATACACTACATTACTAAAAATTAATAGTCATTAATTTTTTTTAAAACTTTGTCATGCTTTCATTATATATCAAATATAACATAAATTAATTATGTAAAAGGAAATAATAATAATAATAATAATAATAATAATAATATAACACACACTTAGCTATTTTAGGGATGCATGAAAACATACTTGTGTTATAAAGTTGTTGGTCTATAAAATATATTGATGGGTATGGAAAAATATAAAAAAAATCTTAAAGACATTATTTTTGAATGGTTCGGTCCGGTATTTTTCGGTTCTCAAAATCTAGGACCGGTCCTGTACCCGTTTGAAACGATACGGTTTCGGTTCGGGATAAATTTTTGTAGAACCATTTAAATACTCGATATTCGGTTCGATACCATTACGGGCCGGTTCGGTACCAGTTCGGTTTTTATGCCCACCCCTACTGATTGGGGTGGGATTGGGATTGTGGTAAGGTAGGACTGAGGGTGAGATAGTGGCAGTGGTCGGAGAAGAGGTTGGTTGGGGATTGGGGCAAGGAGGGACTGTGGGGGTCAGTTCAGGGTGGTCGGTGGTGGTTAGGGTACGCTGGCCACTGGTGGTGGCCGGCAGAGTTGTGGCCGTGATTGCAACAGGGAGGGGCAGTAGGGATGGTGCAAGTTGGGGGCGTGGGCCTGGTGGTGGGTGGGGGTGTAGCTCTGGTGGTCGCCGGGGGCTAGGCGGTGGTCACCAGATGAAGTGGTGCAACGACGATAATTGAGTTGTGCCATTGGGAGTGTCACTGTGATGGTTGTGGCAGTGTCATTGTCGCTTGCGGCGGTGGCGGTAGAGGCTACAGTGACACGGGCGGTGACCGCAGTGACACGGGCGGTGGCCGCAGTGACACGGGCGGTGGCCGCAGTGACACGGGCGGTGGCCGCAGTGACACATGCAGTGACCACAGTGACACGGGCGGCGGCCACAGTGACACGGGCGGCGGCCGCAGTGACACGGGCGGCGGCTGTGTGGCCACAGTGACACGGGTGGCGGCCGTGTGGCCGCAGTGACACGGGCGATGGCCGCAGTGACATGGGCGATGGCCGCAGTGACACGGGCGATGGCCGCAGTGACACGGGCGGTGGCCACAGTGACACAGGCGATGGTTACAATGACACTGGGGGTAGCGGCAGTGACATTTGATAGTGACATTAAAATCTTGGAGTGACATTAATGTGACCTTCTTGATCACTTTTTTGTCCCCTTTTAAAAGTGTTCACTTTTTTGGTAATTGGTTCAAAATTAGTAATATTCAAATAAAACCCCATATATGTATACCTCCACATATATTTTCATGAGTAATTTGCATCTTTTAGAATTTCAAAATTGTATGTGAATCGTAAGACAAACTTTCTAAAATTGGTTCAACGTTTTTTCCCTTTTTAAAATAGGCTAATCGAAAAAGTTTTAATTTCCTTTTGATAATAAACGAATGAAGAGATGATGAGGTTTTAGTGAAATGATGTTTTTACTTGGAGTATTTACAATTTCTAATTAGACTTCGATAGTTATAAAATATAAAAAAACAAGACATTTATTAGATCCGACTAGACTATTTCAAAAAATCTCAGTCCAAGAAAAACATCATAAATCTTTATTTGGAATTGAGGGGTGTTTGGAACTGATTCTACTTTTGCTTCTCTTCTAAAAAAGAAGCAATCAGTTTTTAGAAGTTGTTCTTCCCAACATCTAAAAAACATCTTCTAGAAGTAAATTAGAGCACCAAAAGTACTTCAATACTTTCATCCAAACACTCAAAATTTTACTTCTGCTTCCTGAAGAAACATAAGTAGTTTTCAGAATCAGATCCAAATACCACCCGAATCTCATTTAATTATTGTTTAGGGCAAGTGGCAATTCTGCAATAATCTCAACTATTTGTGATCTGTTCAAAATAATCCAAAGTATCATTTATTTGAAAATAGTCCCAACTATCGAAAAAAAAAATCAAAACACTTCGGTGACTTATAATTATTCATAAATTACTTATACTCCGTACTATTTGTGAGTAAGTGGAGTATTTTGAGAACATTATTCGATAGTTAGAATTATTTTGAGATACTTGATACTTTGAATTATTTAAAGCAGAACAATAATAGTTGGGATTATTCTGCCGTTTGAATTATTTTAGGATTTTTTATAAAATATTGAGAAAAGGGTCAAATAAGAGCTTCTACTATTATGAAAGAGTCACATAAGGTCATGTACTCAGTAAAGTGTCATATAGTACCTCTACTTGTAAAAAACAATCAAATGAGTCCTAACGATCTATTTACAACCTCCTAATCCTGGTTTTAGCTTACATGTCGATTTTTTTGACTTGTATTTCAACCAATCTTAGTTAAATATTCGACGTATGCCGTATAATCTATTCTAAAAAGATGGTCACAAGTACGCTAAAACCGGGATTAAGAGGTGTTAAATAGGTCATTAGGACTCATTTGATTGTTTTTTACAAGTAAAGGTACTTATATGACACTTTATTGAGTACATGGTCTTATGTGACTATTTCATAATAGTAGAAGGCCTTATTTGACCCTTTTCTCTAAAATATTACTAAAATAAAACTTATTTACATAAATATGAGTCATATGACTATTCATTATTATAATGTAGTGTTGTGGTAACTAAAGTTCAAAATTTGAACATGAATTACTATGATTTCATTACTACTCTAGTAACTAATCATATTTTTGTAAATTATCTTTATTTTGGTCATATTTATGCAATTATTTCAAGTAGAACACCAATTATTTCTACTTGTATTTGGAATTGAATCTCATGTACTTATTGATTATGACAAGTGGCAATTCTGCAATACTAGAGAATACTAACGGCCTATATGTAATTAACAAAATACTGCCGATAATTTCAGAGGCGGAAATTGACAGGTGGGACCGTCGTATGGTGCGTTAAGTCACGCCTTGGATTTTTTGATCGACGTCCTTCTCGAAAACAAACACAGTGTTTTTAAATCTACACCGTCAATTACCAATCCACGTCATCGATCTGGTACTCTCGAATCCGACGGTTGAATATTACTCAAAACAAGCACAAATGCATCCTTCTTACACTAGGGTTAGGTTTAACTCGACCACACCTGAACCGCCGTTGGACTCGAGTTACCCAATCGGGCTCGTCTTCTACAATTTCGAGAGAGAGAAATACCCGTGGTCTATCATTTAGTACGAATCCTTAAGGAAACCAGATAAAATTAGGGTTTTATCGTTTCTGCCATATTAATACATCAATTTTCCAGACGAAGAACTTGGTTGCGTTAATTTATCAGAAAATTTTTACCTAAACGTATAACTAAGGGTGTATGTGTATTGATTGCCGCTGATGGGTGAGATTTGGGAGAAAGCGGTGGAGACAGCTTTGGACGGCCAAAAGGACTTCTCTTCCGTGCGTAGCTTAACTCTGGACGGTCTTGTGAAGTGCGTCAATGGCCGTTTGCCTCCACCTTCGCTTTTCGAGAGGTTTCAGAACCTCCAGCACTTATCTATCGCAAGCATTGGAGTCTCCACTTTGGAACACTTTCCTCGGCTTCAGAACTTGCAGAAGTTAATTTTATCGGACAATAGAATCTCTGGTGGTCTGGAATTCCTTGTAAAAGCTGGTTTGCATTCGCTCCGAGACCTGGATTTGTCCAATAACCGGATTCAGGATGTAACAGTACTTAGTCCGCTAGCAGAGCTTAAGCTTATTTCGCTTGATCTGTACGAGTGTCCTGTTACAAAGGTTAAGGATTACCGATCTAATGTTTTAGGACTTATCAAGTCCTTGAAGTACCTCGATAAGATGGATGCAGAGGGAAACGAGCGGCCGGAGTCAGATGAGGAGGAGGACGATGAGTCTGATGAGGAAGATGATGAAGATCCGGGGAGTGGAGAGGTTGATGGTGAAGATCGGCCCCATACGGCATCTAATGGACGTCAGTCCTGGAGTGACAAAGTGATTGACGTGGATGAAGATGAGAGCGATGCTGATGAGGTTGAACTGGACACTTCTAGAGGGGCTAGTGAGGCTAGTCCAAGCCGGTCTCATAATCTGTCAAATGGTTTTAGAGTTGCAAAGGCGAAGTGCGATGATGAAGGCGATGAGGAAGATGATGAGGATTCTGATTGGGATGAGGAAATCGATGAAGATGATGAAGATGATGTGCTAGAGGTTCATAATATTGAAGATGGTGATGATGAGGACGATGAGGATGGTGTGGAAGACGATGATGAAGATCTAGACGATGGTGAAGATGGAGAGGAAGTGGATAATGATGATAGTCTGGTTGGGGATAAACAGAGTACAGATTTGATTGCTAGCACCGAGGGAGAGATTGATGGACATGATGGTGAAGAAGATAGCGATGAAGATGAAGAGGAGAATGTAGAGACTGGCGAGGACGATTTTGATGATGAGGATGACGTGGATGAGGAGGTGAGAATAATTTATCCGTTTAATTATTACAATAACAATAATATGCTTCGCTAAAAAAGTTTTTTTTTTCTGTATGTTACAAGTCTTATCTTTCAGATCTCTGAAGTGTTTTATAAGTGACAATCAGATCTGTGAATTTCATACCCCATATGTTGGTCAACATTCATTTTTCATGTGCCTGCGCTTGGTTTGATAGCTGGTATAACGTGCTTTGATGGTTTGTTTTCCTAATTCCATAAGGTCTGTTTGGAAGGAGGGTTTTAGAAGGCTTTGATCTGTATATCTGTAGGTGTAATGTTTTAAAGGAAAAAACAGGTCATTGAAATGTTGTACGACAAGATATCTCTCTTAATCTTTACAAAATATTGAATATGCATCAAGGTATTAACCAAACAGACCCTTAGTGATATTTCAGAGATTAAAAAAATATTATAAATACACGTCTATTTGATCACACACAGACACACACATACATACATAGATATATTTAGATAATAGCTTGCAAAAAGAGATAGTGAGATACAGAGTACATAAGTAAAATCAAAATGATTCCTGCTCACTCCCTAGGAAAATCCCTGAACTAAACAAGCCATTAGGGTTTGTTGACTGATTTTTATGGGATTGTGTAGCACCTAATTTGCTGTGTCTTGTAATCTAGAGCTTAAGCCAGTCGTGCATAGAATCCTTAAGATCTAATTTCATCAGTATTTCCTAGCTGAATATCTGAAGAATTTTCAGTTTTTATTATATTTTGCAAGTTTTATAAGTCTGGAGTTTTATGTCATTGATTATAGGATCTGGTTTATATTGCATGTATGCCACAACAAGCTATGGTTTGTGTGCTCAAATTTTGTATCTGATGCAGTTGAATCTTAGAATTAGGTCTCATATTAGTTTGGTTATACTTCAGTAAGCATTATTTGGAATCTGGTGACATAAATTGATGTAGTTGACAATTATCTATAGATCTATAGTGGCTTTTATGAGTAAGTTCTTCCACTACATTTATATGTTACATCCTCCCTGCACAGAAGAGTCAATTTCGCAAAAAGAAAGCCCCAGAAAGAGTCTTATTTCATAAACCTGGACTGGTTATGTATGTGAATTTCCAAACAAGTGAAACAACCATAATACATAGCTTTCCAAAAATATCCAGTTTGATACTCTGTATATAGTACCCGAGTATATACTACGTACGTAATAAACATAGTTGATATTTATTTTTCTCTGTTGCCCAAAAAATAGGTACGTTATCTTCAATATTACTCATTGTTAATTTAATTATGGGGATTTTTTTGTCAATTTATAATGTGATGTGATGAAGTTACTTAAAATTTACTAAAAATAATTTTGTAAATAAAAAATTATAACTTATAAGTGGTGGCTATCTTGGCAAAATTTTGAAATTGTATCTGTCCCAAATGTGAGTATGTTTTCAGTTATGGATTATGGGGGGGAGTGTATACATTTTTAAAGTATTTTAGTTATTTTAGTTATTAGTTTGTTTCGGTGGTCTCTGAATTTAAGATATGATTTTGAATATGTGTTTGTTTTTAATAAAAATAATGAATAGTTTGATGATTTTTATATTTGGGGGGTATGTGAATTTAAAAAGTTTTTTACCATGCATTTTTTCTTAGCTGTTTGGGTTGTACAAGTTAACTGCAAGCCAAACCCTGCATCTCAGTTTGAACTGTATATGTTTTACTCCGTTAGTTGATGAGTTTTGTGTTGGCAGGAAGAAGAAGACAATGGAGCTGGGTACTTGGTTCAGCCAGTTGGGCACAGTGAAGCTGGTGCTGCTATCAGGATAAGTCATGGAGATGATGGAGAAGAAGATGATGAAGATGGTGAAGTTCAGGAGTTGGCATCTTTGAAGAGGAAGAGGGAAGAAGAAGACGGAGATGATGACAGCGATGAAGAAGACGACGATGAAGATGATGACGGCGACGATGACGATGATGACAGCAATGATGGGGTGTTAGAGAATGGCAGGCCACCAAAGCGCCAGAGGTGATGATGGCCATGGCTATGCAAAGGTGGAAAGTCCACTGCTCTCCAGTCATGAATGAGCCTTTACCTGGCGTGCGTGTGTTGTTGGCGGGACCAAATATATATATCCATATTTTTCGAGGGAAATTTGTGATGAGGATGTGGTGCTTTACTCCTCTCACAGTAGAATGTTTAAAAAAAACGGTCGTGGATTGATTCTTCTTGTTATGTATTTCCCGCGGATATTAGACTTTGCTGCTCCCTCCAATTTGATTCAAATGGCAGTTAGGAAGTTGTTGCTCAACCCGCCTTATGTTTTCATTTCAAATGAGGTTTTTTTTTGTCAAATGGAGGGAAACAAACCCACAAACAACCCACCTAAGGCTCTCTCTCTCTACTAGGGTTTAGCGCGCGCGCCTAATGAAGTTTTGAAATAAAAGAAGTCGAAATGGATAGATCCTCCAGCGGATTTGCAAGTTGCAACGGACCGTTGCGTCTTCCTCGTACTGTGTTTGTAATGGAATGGAGGGAGTGGGTGCTATTCAGCTGATGATCGAGGTGTTAGTGTGACGTGGCTTCATCCACATTGTGTATTTGTGTATAGTAGACGTTATATTAAACGAGAAGGAACATTTTAATTTCATTTTGCCTTTGATGCCAGATGGCAGTTTTTGATATGCTGTTGTATTCTATTTACCCTGTAATCAAGCATTCAGCAAATTATTCTGACATTTGTACACATGTGCTTCTCGTTGATGATCAATAAATCCCAAAATAGAAAGCCAAACATCCAATAATTTACTAATACTAGACTACTAGTACTACGTATTTCTTTTTCTTTCTCTAAAGCTAAACAAAAGTAAATGGTCCATCCCGGCCTTTTTATTGATCCATGTTGAATTATAGCAATGGGTCAGAAGCCCACAATTGGTTGTGGCGTTGCTCAACGATATTTTAGTTGCTTTCCGAAACGGGTAATTCTATTTACAGCCCATAAATTGCTATTCACAGCCACTTAAATAATAAAATGTCTAAATTACCCTTATTAGTAAATAACAATTATTTGAAGTCATCTACCCAGGAATGGATGGCTACCCTGCTTCCGACTTCCGAGTAAGGCAGAACTACAAGAAATTCAAAAATGACACAAACAGAATGACAGAAATGCAAATGGAAGTGTCATAACCATCCATGGCAATGAGCACAACAACACACGGATTTAATTACATCCAATAAGTCTCCAATTACAGACTTTGGATTTTTTCCCCTCATTTTCTTTCAAATATTCTCAAAATACAATCCAAATTTGGTCTCACCATACAAAACGAGGTCGGGATTGATCAATCTGAAATTGATCAATGGATTTCTACTGGTACCATGTTCACAGGGTTACCCCAATCACCCGTGGATGACCCATTCTATAATATTCGATGTTTTAACCAACTCCAACAACGGCCCGAGCATAGACCTCACACCTCCGCCTGAAATTTAATCATCATCACATTAATAGTAACTCTCTTGTTTGCTCCCGACGTTTAAATGCTTCCTCACTTTGGAAATTGTTTGGGTAGCCGACAGGAGATTAGACTCGAAATTTCAATAACATTCCACTCAACCGATTGTTAAATAATGCGGTTATTATGGGTATTATAAAATAGTTTTCGGATGATGTGTGTACCGAGCAAATGGGAGCTGCATATAGAATTCCCCAAAAGGATATAATTGGAATTAAAAATAATAGGTGGTTGTATTTAGTAAAAGTGTGGCTGTGAATAGAATTGCCCTTCCGAAACTGGTTTATTATTGGTTTGAACTTTGAAGGTGACCAGACCCGGCATCTTACCTTGTTCTCCGAAACTGGTCAACCTAAAATCATAATCGTAGTCCAACATGAATTCTTAGACCATCGGTGGTCAGTTACTTAGAGCATTTTTAGTGGTACCCGGGGATTGCATCCTACAAACAATGGACACATCACATGTGTAGACGGCCTATTAAGCTTACGTGGACATAGACATGTTTGGTAAATGGCGTTTTGGCTTAAAATTGGCGGATTTGACCAAATTTGGCGTTTTTAATTGATCAAAACGCTGAAATTAAGTGTTTGGCAGACGGCATTTTACATTAACGTTTTGATCCTAAACGCCAAAATACAAAACGCCACAACTTGGAGCGTTTACCAACGGCGGATTCAAAATACGCAATAAATTGTCAAAGTTATCCTTCACTTCCGCTAACCTTCGCTATTCTTCAATGCTCTGCAAGTCCGTATGCCTTCGCCGGTAAATAAAAATATCGCCACGTGAGTAAAGTAATCTGCAGACTTCGGTATTTGATGCCATGATTTCAAATATATCACTTCATTGTATGTGCGATTGAAATATTTTTACATTGTATAAGGCCAATGTGTGCAGATCTTTGATATAAAATCCATGCTCCAATTCGCCCACTACTCTCCATTATAGGGAGTATTTTTTTCTTACTTATTCTAGTATTTTTCTTCAGTTAGTTTATTAAATTATTAATTAATTCAAGTATGTGTACTCTTCATTGTAACATCATACGAAGTATTTGTATGAAGTATTTGTACTCAAGTATTTTTATTCCATATATATTTTTATTCATTATTATAGTATTCGTACTCCATTAAACAACAATGAACATACACTAAAATGTATCAATATCCTTTTTTGTCTTTTTATCTAGTAACCGCTAAACGTAAACAACTAAATTACCAAACACTTTTTTACAACCTGCCAAATTAATCTGCCGGTCAAATCCGCTGACTCAATTCGCTATTCAGAATCCGCTAATATAATTCGCTAACCGCTAACCGCTAACAGCTATTTGCCAAACAAGCCCATAGTTAAAATAATACTTTATCTCCAACGGTGGCTTTGAGAATTAGTTTACTATCCATCTACCACTTCCCTGATCCTTGACTTATGAATAAAAACTGCCGAGTATTATTTAATACGAGTTCTGCAAATCTCTTTTGCTAGTTTTCTTCTCCAAAAAATAATCTGAAAAAAGATATTCATGATTAATTTTATCTTCTACCTGAAAATAGACGCAAGTTAATTCTCAACTCACGCACAACTTTTCACACGATAGTATTTTTCTCACCCCCACACATATATATTCATCATAAAAACAAAGTATATATGATGTTTACATCCAGCTAGAAGGCAAAAATCAATACATGGATTGATCAAATAATTAAATTAACAGCATAAATTATCACCACCGCCTCTATCAATTTCATCTTCTGGTAGAGGCATAGCCGCATAGATAATGAATTCGGAAGAATCAATCATGATCGTGCCGCTGCTCCTGGAGGGAGCTCTTTCAGATTTCATCTTCATCACGGTGGGTCAGCTTCTCGTACATATTGGGTTAGACGGAAATATATTTTAATTGATGCGTAAATCTTTGTGGAGAAATAAATATTTTTGAGTCAAACGGTGGGATAGACCTGCTGAAAGTGGAAAGGGAGGTAGACATCGTGCATTTTTTCCCATTCCAACTCAGCAACGCGGTTCTAATGCACAGTTCCATTGGAGCAAGTATTTTAACATCAATATCTATAAATCTGACTTGGCAATTCATCCTCCTGCAATCCATTGTCCCACTTGGCCACTACGGATGCTCTTAGTTGCTCCACCCCTCTAGACATAAAACAAAGCAATTCTCTTAGCACATACTTAGGTAGTGTTTGCGTAAGATTAAAAAGCATTTTTTAGCTTTCGGCTAAAAAAATTACAATTAGTGTTTTTAAACACCAACAACTTAAAAAGCACTTTAAAAGCAAAACCTAGAAGCTGGTATTTGGCTACTTTTATCTTCTTCTTGGCGTTTTAGTAAATAAGTCCAACTTTTAGGGCTATTCTAATCTTAAAAATAATAATGAGACCAAAAGTGCCCCTCTGGCCCACAACATCTATCGTCCCCCAAAGCTCTGTCCGAAATATGCAACAACATCCTTCCGGCAAGGGAATTCGACAACATCCATTACACACATACTACATAACACACACACACACGCTGAAGAATATAATTCAGAGCCAAACGAAATTATGAATAATCCAAGAACATTATTAAACTTTATCCAAACATGGTTTTTATTTCTATGTTTGTCTGCTTTCTAATTCCATGGGCATGGTGAGCAGCTTCACAATCGGTAAAATTAGGGCGGAGAGAAAGGAGGCCGCATGGGTTGGGTTTGCTCCTGATCCCGATCTGCTATCTCTTCTTAATTTTAGGAGGTTGCTTTGATGTAATTGATCAAAGACTTACATCACTTCTCACTTTTCATGCAAAAATCTCTTTGTATTAGAACATACCCCAATATATATATACAAACACAAACTATTAGGGATCAAATACAAACACTTCGTAATTAACTAAAAACTCATCTTGGCTATCTTGGCTATAGGCTATAAAGGCACAGTGTAATTTTTGTAATAAAAGCCAACTTCTTAAGAATACAACTCTTTGAACGTTAACATGCAACTGCTATTTTATGCATGAATGATATGCAACACTTTGACCTTCAATATGTAATTTAACGTAAAGATGCATCATACAAACGCTTTCACGATAAGCAAAGTTTGCACTTAATCCGCCCCCTATATACACACACATAACACATTGGGCACTTAATTCGTCACACAACGCGCGTGTAAAAACTAGTATACTACATAAGTACGTGTATGGTAAATACAAATATGTAATGGTAAGTAGTAATTAGTAATGAAGTAATATAATCATGAATATGTACAACACATTATGGTGGCATGTGGGCAACATTAGTCATCTTTTATTAGATTTGTATGTGTATATATGTAATGGGGATCAGGTCCAACACGGGTTGGAATGAAATATACCATACCCGACCCATTTATTATGACGCATAATGAGCCTGTATTTGGGTCAGATAAACGGAACTAAATGCAGACATGAGTCCGAAATTGGGTAAGAATGATATATACCATACCACACCATACTACACCACACCACACCACACCATACCATACCATAACATACCATACCATACCATACCATATCATACCATACCCGTTTAAAAAGCAGATTCAGGTCTAGTTTAGGTCTAGACTTGATTCATTGACAGGCCTAGGCTTCGAGAAGTACTTGGTTGGGTCAATGAAAAAAACTGGGTGCGTGGTGATATCAAGTTATACGGAGTATGCGATATAGAATTAGGTTGTAGTTTCTCGGGTTTAATGCACCAAAGTCCATTGTGGTATATACATTCAGCGTATTAGCCTCATATGATTTGCTTCAAACCCCTCTGTGTTATAATTCAAGTGCAAAACCTCTTCTTAAAACAAATTTAACAATTTGGAAATCACTTATCTTAATACTCCCTGCGTATTTAATTGATCTCTACACTAGGGGTCATTGTTCTAAAAATCGGCCTAGGCGGACCGATTAATCGGCCTAGGCGGCCTAGGCGGCCCTAACCGTAGAGTCCTAGTCGGTCTAGTCGGCCAAAAAATCGGCCTAGTCGGCCGCCTAGGCGCTAGGCGCCCCTCTACCGCCCGACTAGCGCCTAGCGAGTTTTAGAACAATGCTAGGGGTTGACACAATATTTAAGGGGAAAATAGTAGGGGTAATGATTAGTGTAGAAAAAGTAGGAGAGAAGTTGGTAAAATAGGAAAGAGAAAATAAAAGGTAGAAAAAGTAAGGGTAATTGAGTACTTTTAAAGAAACAACTTGCCAAAAAGGGAAAGTGTAGTGAATTTTTAAATATATCCCAAAAAGGAAAGTGT